GCGTGCTACTTACAGGGTCCTTCCTCTTTCTTCTCTCTCTCCTCTTCTTCTCTTCCTCCTTCTCTCTCTCTTCCTTTTTCCTTCCTTCTTCTCTCGCCTTCCATTTCCTTTTCCTATCTCTTTCTATCCTCTCCTCACTTCTCATCTCTTGTCCCTAGCTCCCTCTTTTCCGTAGTTACTTTCATATCCTTTCTCTCCTCTTCATTTTATTCTCTCTCTTCGTCCTCTTCCTCCATCCTTCTTTAATTCTCTTCACCTTCTTTCTTCTCTTCCTCCCTATCTCCCATTTTACTTCTTCCCTTTCTCTCTTGCTCTTCCTTTCCTTAAATTTCTAGTTCTCTCTTTACTTCCCCCCTTCCTCTCTCTCTCTTATTCTTCTTTTTCCCTCCGTTTTTCACCCTTGCCCTCTTTCTCTCCTTTCATTTGCCTCTCTTCTTCTCTCTCTCTCTCTCCTCTTCCTCTTCCCTGTCTTCTCTCTCTTTTTCCTCCCACCTGTTCCCCTTTCTCTCTCTCTCTGTCTGTCTCCCTTTCTCTCTCTCTCTTTATAACTCTCTCTCTCTCTGGCTTTATAACATCGACTACATATCTGTTCAGTTTTATTTGATAAATGCTGTTTTTTCACATAACGGCAGCCAACTATAGTAGCTCTGCCAGGTTCTATTTTCATGTTCTATTTCCCCTCGCTCCTCCTCCCTCTCTCTCACTCACTCTCTCTATTTCCCTCTCCCCTCCCTTTCTCTTTCTCTCTCTCTCCCTCCCTTCCTCTCTTCTTCTCTCTAGCTCTCTCTCCCTCTCCCCCTCCCTTCCGCTCTCTATCTCTCCCTGTATCTTTCTCTTTGTCTCTTTCTCTCTCTCTCTCCCTCCCTCTCCTTCTCTCTCTTTTTCTCTTCTCCCTCTCTCTTTCTGTCTTACTTTTTCCCTCTCTCTCTCTTTCTCTCTCCCCCTCTCTCTCTTTTCTTTTTCCTCTCTATCTCTTTCTCCCTTTCACTCCCGCCCCCCTCTATCTCTCTCCCTCCTCTCTTCCCTTCTCTCTCTCCCTCTCTTTCCCTTTCTCTCTTTCTCTCTCACTCCCTCTCCCCCCCCTCTCTCTCTTTGTCTCTCCCTCCCTTTCTCTGTTTTTCTTCTCTCTCTCTCTTCCGTCGCTCTCGTCGCTGCGTCGTTGTGAAGAGAATCCTTTTCTTCGTTTCCCCAAAGTTGGTGGCGCCCCTCGACCCATGCGCCGGCCCTCGCCAGGAGAGCACAGCCAGGCGGACCGCGTGTTTCGAGCCATTGTTAGCGTCTTCCTTGCCTTTCGTTTTCAGTCATTATATGTAAAAAAATATTTTATGAATGTTAGAATTATTTTTTTTTTATTCGTTTATGCATGGTTTATACTAAAGATTCGCGTGCCTTAATTTCTTATATATTAGTTTTTTTGTTTTTTTTTATTACGCTTCAATATTTATAAATTCGTTCGGATTATGTTGTCATAAATGTTTGATTTATGATTTAACCCTACGAGGTCCATTGAACCAAAGCAGTAGGAAGCCTTTTAATTTCTTTCAACCTTCGTAAGCAACGAGTGGCTCAGGCGATTGGCTTTGTTACATCGACCACATTGCCATAGAAATTTTGCCAGATAGTTTTCGACTGGCTTTTCTGCTCACTGTCATTATCATTTTTTTTCTTTTTTTTTATCATTAGCATTATCTTTCTTCTTGTTTTTATCGCTGTTGTTATTATTATTGTCATTATTCCATTTAACTCTTCCTCTCTTTTTATCTCTCCTTTCCTGTCTTCCTTTCTATTTTGCCCCTTCCTTTTTTTCTCCCTTTCTCTCTCCTCTTCCTTTCTTCTCTCTCTCTTTCATATCTCTTTCTTTCTCCTGTTTCTCCCATTCCCTTTCCTTCATTTCTCTTTTCTCCTACTCTTTGCTCTTCCTGTTTTCATTTCGTCTTCTTCGCTCTTTCCTCTATCTCCCTTTCCTCCATCTCACTGATGTTCTCTATTTATCCCTTCTTTTCTTATTGTTCTTCGCTCTTCCTTTCTTTTTATCTTTCCCTCTTCCTTTATCGGTTCTATCTTTATTATTATTATTATTTATGATCATCTTTATTATTCTACTATAAATATTATCATTTTTTAAATATTATTATTATTATTATTAGTCTTTTATTTTCATTTCATTTGACGATTTATGGAACGAAGCATTTTGAGAAGAAATATTGTCTCGAAAAAATATACTAATTGGCACCTTCCTCAAAACTCCCGCGTTAATTGTGAGGAAAAAAATGGTTTGCATGCCATTATTTTGCATATTGATGGTGCCTTCTGACTCTCCTCTTCACTCCCGGTGATGTTCATGCTAATCAGTGGTCTGAGCTTTTGTATTCCGTGCTTATGAACATCATTTTTCTCTCATTCAGTGCTCGGATTTTTGTCGGGAGTTGCCAATTAGTCAATTTCCCAGAGTCGATATTTGTTCTCGAGATATTTAGGACATAATTGCCAAATTATTTTTGTGTGCTTGTTTGTGTGTGTTTGTGTTTTTGTGTGTGTAGGTGTTTGTGTCTGTGTATTTCTTTTGTATATGTTTGTGTGTATGAGTGTTTGTGTTTCTGTGTGAGTTTTTGTTTGTGTCTGTGTGTGTGTTTGTGTATTTTTGTGTTTGTTTGTTTGTGTTTGTGTGTGTGTTTGTGTTTGTGTGTTTATGTGTGTGTGGAGAGGGAAACTCCAGGCCAGGTACATATATATACATATACACAGACATATATATCTGTGTATATACATATATATCATATACATGTATACATATATATATATATATGTTTGTACATGTATAGATACATAAATAACGAGACGGTGGGAGATAGAGAGTGAGAGACATCATATATATATATGTAACTGTATATATACATGCATAGATACATATATACGCACACACACACACACACACATATATATATATAATGGAAAATAACATTGGGAAATATGACCGCTCATTTGTCTTGCAGCGCCATCTGTTAAATCATAAAAGAATAAAATGGTGAAAACCAGATTTCGACTTGTCTGTATGTCAAATCAATATGATTTTGAGGTAGGCATTGTGTAAAAGAAAATTTTATGAAATGGTTCCTATATATATAATCCTGTCTCCTTACTTCTCATTCTTCTGCCCCCCCCCCCACCTTTCTCATTCCCTCTTCCTTCCCATCTCTTTCCTCTTCCTCTCTTCCACCCTCCTCTCTTTCCCTTATTACTTCTTTCTTCTGCCTCTATTCCATCCTTTTTCTTCCTCTCTTTTCTATTTTCTCTTTATCACTTCTCTTCCACTCTTCCCTTTTCACTGCTGATATTATTATTATAACTATTATTATTTATTTATTTATTATTATCATAGCATTATAATCCCCATCATCCCGTGAGGCACAATCAATTTGGGAAAATTGACTAGTTGGCACCTCTCCACCATCCGTTATTAGTAAAAAAAAAAAAAAAAAAAAAAAAATATTTTGCAGATCTATGGCACCTTGTGAGTGTTCTCTTCACATCTTTATGCTAATTGGTGGTCTGAGCTTTTGTATTCTGTGCTTATGAGGGACATTTTTCTCATTATCCCTTCTCCTATTTTTCCATTATTTCCTCTTCCTTTCATCCCCATCACCCTAATTCCCATCCTAACCTTCACCTCCATTTCCACCCTCCTTCCCATCACCCATGAACACGACGCTCAATACAAGCTTCTTCCTCCCACAGACGCCACTCCGCTGCACTGTGCTGCCTCTGGGGGTAATCGTTCCGTCGTAGACGTCCTCCTGGCGGCGGGCGCTGACATTACC